CCCAAAACCACCCCCCGGGCCCGCAGCCGCCACTGAGCGCGGGGTATGAACAACTCTGCCGCTGTTTATTCCAGAAAAGCAAAACTGTACAAAATGGCTGTCGGCAGCAGGGCTCAATCCTCCTCCTCCTCCTCTTCCTCGTCCTGGTTGATCTGGAAGTAGCGCAGCTCATAGCTCTCCTTGCTGTTGGCCACCACACGCAGCCAGTCCCGCAGGTTGTTCTTCTTCAGGTACTTCTTGGTCAGGTACTTCAGGTACCTGCAGGAGATGCGCAGCTGACCGTGGGTCGCCTGTGCCCTCATGCCATTTTGGCAAATAAATCCCCAATCCCATGGATTGCCACCAGGCACCTCCTGGCAAAGTTCCTGCCAGAAAACATCATAACCAGGGGAACCACATCACAATGCCATGACGTGGATCCTGGGAGATCATTCCCACCCTCGCCTGCTGAGGCTGTGTCCCCAGCCCTGTATCCCCACGTGGCACAGGGAATCTCCATGGGATGGTGGGTACCTGCTGCCAGAATGTGCTGCGTGTGGCACCCACACGGAGCAACAGCATTGGAAGAAGCACAGGTGCCTACAGAGCAGGGCACCTCCCAACCCACTGGGCTCTGCTCTTCCCACCCTTCTGACCCCCTTGAGTCACCCCTGCCACGGCACCACCCCAGTCTGCCGGTGCTGGCCCAAGGACAGGCAGCCAGGAGGAGCAGGCAGAGGGCTGGAGCCCCACAGGACCAGCAGAACGATCCGAGAGTGGAAGGGCTTGGCTGTGGATGCCCCAGAACTCCGCAGTTAGCACCTTATGGTTACAAGTGCCTCCCCACTGCCCAACACCAACAGCCTTCACAGCAGGAATATCAACCACATCCACCTCTTAAAGACCACTTGCCACACAGCAAGTGCCAGGCACGACTCCTGCTCCAAGACATCCCTCCCTGCCGGCCCCTCCTGCCCCCCAAAGCACCCCCCACACTGCCCGACCGGCCCGCTGGGACCTGGGGCTGCCCCCCTTTACCTCTTGGAGAACGGCACCTCCGACGTAACCGTGATCTTGCTCTTGCTCCTCTCGATGGTCACCACGCCCCCGCCCAGGTTCCCCGCTTTGCCGTTCACCTTGATCCGCTCCTGCAGGAACTGCTCCTGCGAGAGGAACGTCACCTGAGCCGGGGCTGCAGCTCCCGCCGGACACAGCCCCCTGGCTGGCCTCTGCCTGGCCCTCCCAAGCTGGGGAAGGGACAGCAGTGCCCCCATATCCCAGGGGAGCAGGGTAGAGCCCCTTCCTCAGCCCGGGAAGCTCCGAGCCAGCACCTTCTGCAGCTGATCAGGCCCCCATCAGAGCCACTCCCGGGTGAGGTGCTCAGGCCTGAACACGTCAGATCAGCAGTGGGGACGTTCCTGCTCTCCGAGGGGACAGCCAGGACACGGCATCAGCCTCCTCCGAGTACCCCCACCCCCAGCCCACTCAGACCCACCCTGGAGATGGGTGGTTTGGATGGGCACTAGTTCCTGAGCTCCAAAATGCAGCACCCCTGGCCTGGCTGCTCTGCCAGTGTGACGGGAACTCGCCAAGAGTGATAGACAGGGACACTGTCCATGGGCAG